AGGTGGGCACCTGGCCGTTTGGACCAATGGTAGGGGTGGGATGGCATGGCTGGGTCCCCATTGGCCGGTGGTCAGCAGGTTGGGCCATATACCAGTGAATGGTGRGCATCAGGGGGATTTAGAAGTGGGTATGCGCAATGCTTACTGAAAAATAAGCGGGTATACGCCGTATATCCTGGACTACACCAGTGGGTACACGTACATAATGCTATTACTTATATTTTATATGAATATGATTTCAGTCTTCACACACACCATATTCAGCCTGAGTGTCGCACTGCAGGTGAAGGGAGTAACCCAAACATAACGCAAGAGGTCGCAGCACACCCACAAGAGAGAGCTCCAGTGTGCGTCTCACAGTCTGCGAACACCACAGGAAATGAAATGAATCACTGTGATAACTTCAGTCAGGTTGTCACTGAGGAAGAATTGTTCTCTTTATTAACTCTGAGATTGGGACAAGTGCATCTGAATCCAACAGTGTAATATTGTATAGACTCTCACCATTATATAGAAATCATTTTGTATAGCCTATTCTTCGGATCTTGAGTGGATGTCTGACTTTATCTCACTCTGTGTTTGTCCCCTCCTTGTTATTATTTAGGACGTCTCCTACTCATATACACTGTGTGTGTGTTACTGTGTGTGTGTGTTACTGTGTGTCATCATCACACAGTGTCATGAACACGCTGTCTCTGTCAGTCTGTGCGCTCCTGGCGCGCTGCGCGTTTGTGGGTAAAGTTGTCTGATCCAGCGCAGAKAGGCGGTGCGCCACTGACATCCACCCGCTCCGAAGGAGAACCAGCAGAGGAACACGCGTCAAGAAAGATTTTTACAGCTGGAAAATACTTACAGGCGGATAAACACACAGATAGATGGTTAAACGCTGAAATGATCCAGAACCGCGGAGAAAACGAGGACGACGCTGTGAGGGCGGATCTCCTGCGGGGCTTCACACCATCTCTGCGCTCCTTGTGAGGGGACACACCGAGGGGCTGAGGGGGAGAAGGAGAACTGAAGAGGAGGGGAAAATGCTCAAAGTTTGTCCGCGTCGTGTGGAAGTGACAGCCCGCAAAGCGCAGTCCCGCAACAGCTGCAGAAAATGAGCATGAATTGAACGAAGAATGCATGTCGTTTGGGAAATATCTGTGAGAGGCCGTTTAGGAAATAATTCATACTTGCTCTCACATGTTACATCATACTCTCTCACAAACACCACTATAGTCACACACACTTACTATCATACTCTCTCACAAACACTACTATAGTCACACACACTTACTGTCATACTCTCTCACAAACACTACTATAGTCACACACACTTACTGTCATACT